GAGATCTTTTCATATTTCTTTACCAGATTTTTTAAGTTGTAAAAACGACAGAAGTGAAGTATCTCGATCAAGATATACGTAAATCTTGTGTGTAAAGAATCATCATTGATTGAAATATGCTTTTGGAAACGCGATTTATTTTCTTCAAGATAGTTCCATGTTGATTCTTTTTTATCCATATTTGCCGTTACTTTAAAAATAAAATATTAGTATATATTTATAATAAATAATCAATGGACGCAGCCGAATTCCTTGTTCTTACGTTGTAGCGAACGCGTCATTCTTTGACCCCGCAACGGGCTGTCGCGTCCGTTTAAAAAAAAAGTGGTTTGTGCGGCTTCGCCGTATTGCCAGATAGTAAATGGCCCGTTAATAAGAACAGTACAGCTGCACTGTATTGGTAATTGATAGTATGTGTAAAAAAAATGCCTGTTAAAGACCCATTTGAAATATTATACAGATTCTAGTAAATATATACTTTTCTAAAAATTATGGGATTAAAGAAACCAGTTTGAAAGAAACCAAAAATAAACAAATTAAATGCGTAAAGAACCAATCAGTAATCGTGATGACAAATACAATTTGTAAGATTTGCAAAGGAAAGTTTATTTAACAGCAAGAATTTTGACGGTGACAACCTCCAATTCACTCTTGAATTTTACAAATACAACATATTCAAAACACAATTATACAAGATGAAATTCTTTAATAAACTCTTAAAATGCTTCAAGAAAACCAAAAAACAAAATGATAATTGGGATAATATTTGCGAAAAAGTTGAGTCTTGGTCAACAAAGTCAACGGACGATAAAGAAGAATCTTTTGAAACCACCTTACCGACTGTTGAATTTGATAATCAATTCTCTGTTCTTGAATTAAAATTTTATACAAGATATGAAGAATACGTTGAAGATGTGAGAAGAAAAGATACTGAGAAATATGAAAAATTCAAGATGTATTTCTCATTTTTGGATGCATATATCCGTAGTTACCATAATCTGTTTCATGATGCGATATGGTATTACAGAAAAGCAGGTGCATTTGATTTATTGCTGTGGAGAAGAAAGCAATATGAGGAGGATTTTGAGTATACGATAGGAGTTTTAAACAAGAATTTTAGTTATATTTACCTCTTAAGTTATGATGATCTGTTAGAATACGCTGAAAATAATCTTGTATTTTAAGTATTTTTTGTAAATATTTGTATTATATATTTAATTTTTTGTAAATAAAGTATGTGATTGTACGTAAAAAAAATGATCAGCATGATTGCGTATTTGTATGAATCCGGATTTGGTATTCCGATAGTGATGCATGTGCGATTACATAAGCGGCTGTGACTCATTGATGATCGACACCGTACAAATAGTTGATGATGCGCCCAATTTCATGTTTCTCACCCTTTGCTCTTTCCCATGATATTGCGTGTCAAGACTGGGGAATACGAGTCTAAACCATGCTATCGCAGCATCCCTCGCATGATTAACTGTAAGATATCCGGGTTCTTTCACGAGAATTCGGAGAAGAGTACTCATCTTTTTCACGTCTTCATGGGAAGGAGGAAACGGTCAATTTCTATCGCTTCAGATGGTCTTTATTAAGTTTTGGCCAGGCTCTCCACCTCGAGAGCAAACGAAAAACTTAGTGTTTTTGCGTTTTGCACCTTGAGAAATATCTCGAGGAACGGATGTGTTTTAGGCTTTTTTTCTACCATAGAGAGTAAAAAAGCATTATCAAACGTTAGTCATCTCGGGGCATACTACAAGGATTCACCAGATGGATCCTCAGGCTTATAACGCTGAGATGCGACTCGACGCACTGTTTTAGGCTTTTGGCAGCTGCGTCTGAACTACAAAAGTCAAAATTTACATGAGTTTTACAATCATGGTTATTGTTCATTCATGGCTTGGGATCCGAACATAATCTCCCCAGTAATTTGGATTCACGTCCGAATTGATCGTTTGCTCTTGGTTTTTTAGAGTCAAGTGATATGCAACCTCCATGTTGGTTCGACTCAGGCAACGTGTTTTTATCATTAAAAATACGGCTAATACATATCAATTTTATTAATAAAGTACAGGATATCCATTACGATTGTCTGTTTTCTTATCATGCTAATTCTATTGCTTTTTCTTTTGTTTTAAACCATTTTCTTTTATGTTGTTTATTTCATTTTTACAAAATAAACCAAAAATCTTCAAAAAAAATATACAGAAATTTTTATAAATAAAAACAGTAATTTTAATTTTGAAATGTTAATTGACCCAAATAATTCGGATAATTTAATATAAACAAAAAATTATACAGAAATGGCATTTTCGTGTGAAGTTTGCCGTAGATGGAAGAGAAAATG